CAGGATTGGGGAGGTAGATTCCCACATGATTCAAGGATTGACCTTGACTTTTATTTATTGTCATGGCGTAGCATATGCGCAGGGGATATTGTCTTCTCTTTAGGACGAAAGGGTATTTTGCATCGTTGGAGGTTATTATTATTCTTGGGATGTCCACTACAGTGCCAATGTTCTTTCCAGTTATTATTCTTGCACGTATTACATGGTGACCCAAGTGATGGATTACCAATCTCGTCCCATTGCACAGTCCAAGGCCGGGGTTGATGTTGCAAAGCATTAACACAGGTATGCCTTCCTTGAGAGTTAGTACGTGAGGGGGCATTCCAGGGAATGTTAGTGCGTTGAGAAATTCGGTTGGGTAGCCTATTTCTGTTGGAACACACTTTGCACGTTTAACTAAAGTCGTGTTCATTTCTGACAGGTTTTGATAATTGCCAAACCGCCGTGGATATAAAGAGTTTCGTTGAATAACTCAAGGCGCGAAGAATGGCATGGAACAAGACTCGAAAGACTCAAGGACAAGATCAAGAATTGAAGACTTAGTCGAGTCGGTCTTTTGATCAAAACCGACAATCAATTCAAGTCTCGGTTCTCAAAGAGTCAAAATAATTTTACAAAATCATAAAATATTTTTGTGCATCAAAATAAACATTTTTGATAAATTTTTTATTGTTAAAATCCCTGGTCCTTGCTCAGAACAAAAATCACCTAAGTCGGCGTACGGTGTTCGGCGCTCGATTTTTGGCGCCCGAACCAACTCGGTGGTTTTCAATGTTTTAAACCTCGTTTTTATATCTGAGCATATTTAAAAGGTTCCCAAATAATTATTCCATAAAAACCACTTTTGTATCTTGGTCAATCGGTCTAACACGTGAAAAACGGTCAAAACCACACCCACATGATGTACGACCTTGGAGACTTGGTTTTTACCGAACAAGTCTTGTTTTCACTATTTTATACCATATACAATGTTTTTCAAACTTGGTTTTTACTTTTGGGAACACTTCGTTTTTGGACCTCGGTTTTTCAAAACGGGTTCAGCTGGCTAGACTTTAGCTGGGTGATAATCGATTATCACCTTAGTGACAATCGACTATCAGCCCCTGCAGCTTTGAACTTCCAAAGTTCAGAAGCACTTAATAATCGATTATCACTTATGCAATAATCGATTATCAGCCTTTGCAGCCAAAACCCAGAATCTTCTGAGAGGACCAATAATCGATTATCACTTGTTGACAATCGATTATCTGGGTTACCGTTGTCCTCCAACGGATAGTTTTTTAAACTTTTGGACAGGGAATCTTTTAATAATCGATTATCATGTCTAGACAATCGATTATCAACCTACAACTCTGAAAAATTTGTCTTCATCCTGTTGGAAAATTTAGCAACGGTTTTATCCCATTTTGGGCTATAAAATGGCACCCAAATCCTCTCATTTTATACACAATTCTTCAACATTTCAATACTCTTTCATTGCATAATCATTCCTATTTTTCTTAGCTATTTGAGAGCCTATTCTTAAAGAAATTGTCGTGTTCTTGAGCATTTACTAGTTCACTCATATCTACTCTTTGTGAGAGTTTTATTCCTGAGTGTTTAAGTGTTTTCATACACTTTAAGGGAGGTTGTTCCCTTGTTGTAAATTCGAAGGAAAATCTTTGTTCCTTTGTGAGAAGTCTTGGAGTGCGGTATCTCCAAGCAAAGGTGTTGAGGCTCGTGTGACTCGGGTTCTCAAGTTGTATCGGTTTGTTAAGCACCCTTAAGCTTAACGGAGTTAGTGTAGCTCGAGAGAGTCTCTCGGGAGGCTGGATTAGCCACACGTTGTGGTGAACCAGGATAAAATTCGGTGTGCTCCTTCCTTACGCTCTTTACTTTTACGCTCTCGTTCTTAATTTCCTGCGATTTTGTTTCAAACGCTATTCACCCCCCTCTAGCGTTGGGCCTTTACTCTAACAATTGGTATCAGAGCCTTACTCTCTGTAAGACTTAACCGTTTGAGAGAAACGATCAATGGCTTCTACTCAAAGTTCATACGCAGGTTTAGGTGAAGGGCAATCCACCACAAGGCCTCCGTTGTTTGACGGAACGAACTACACCTATTGGAAGGAGCGGATGAGGATTTACATCCAATCCACCAACTTTCTCCTTTGGAGAATTATCAAGAATGGTGAAGACGTGCCAATGAAGAAGGTCGGGGAAACCAACGTTCCTAAGACCGAGAATGAGTATGATGCACAAGACATCAAGAAAGTGGAAAACAATGCCAAGGCCATCAATATCATCTA